GAGAGAGAGAGAGAGAGAGAGAGAGAGAGAGAGAGAGAGAGAGAGATTGAGAGAGAGAGAGATTCCCTCTCTCTTTCTCATTTTTTATTTTTATGTTGTGTTGTGGAGACAGAATTGTACTTTTTAGACCAGGCTGGCCCAGAATTCACTGTGTAGTTCAGGCTAGCCTTGTACCATAGTTCCTGAGTTCTGGAATCACAGATGTGAGCCACAGTGTCCAGCTCCGTGCTCACAATCTCTTGATCAGAAATTCACCCCAATTCTCCAGACAAGCAAGCAAGCATCCCTTCCTTATGCTGTTAGGTCCTCAGAGGTGGACTCCTCCCCGAGCCCCACCACACACCCTTTGCTGCCCACGGAAGTCCTTGCTGAATCTAGCTTCACGCTCCTCACCCTTCTCTCCTCTCCTGTCCCCAGGACAAAAGGCGAAAGTACGGCATGCTGCATGCTCAGGAGTCCAGCAGCTCTGTTTTCTACCACTCTCAGGATGAGGCACCTGACTCAGGCAGTGGGACCTGTACCAAAATCTTCAACTCGGAGCCGACCCAAGATGCCCATCCATGCAACCGAGACTCCCCCACCCATCATGGTTGGGCCTCTGCTTTCTGCTCTGTTTTGTTCCCTTTTCCATGGATGTCATAATGATTGCTACCTTATATTGAGCATTTAGTATGTGTTAAGCATTTGATAAAAAGCCATCTCTGGGACCAGTTAGCAGCTATGGGTGTGGATACAGTGATACCCACTGTACAGACAAGGAGACAGAGACTGCAGAATCTCAGCAACTGGCTAAGTTCTTGGATGCTAAAGAGAGGTCAACCTAGACCTATGTGCCTTTGTAGAGTTTGACACCCTTTTCAAAGAGAATTTACTGATTATCTGACAAAGAGCAAAGTGTGTGTGGTGGGGAGTAGAACGGCCCCCACCTGGCACCTGCCCTCCAAGGTCCCCCCTTTAGACACAAAGGCACAACTGACCTTAACGCTGATAAAGCGGCAGAGAGGGACAGAGACTGCAGTTGTGGGGACCCCGGGGAGAGAAAAGCATATAGATCATAGGCAACTGAGGGCTGGCTCTTAGTCGTGGGAAGGGACAGGAAGTGCCTGCGAGCATTAGTCCTCAAGCAAAGCCGTGGCGGCACGGCGTGGGCCACTCATCTGGTAGTTCTAGTTTCCTCTGACCACACAGCATCTCTAAAAGGGGCTGGGAGGGGCTGGGGAGACGGCTGAGCAGGTGAAGTGCTCGTTGAGAAAGCAAGGCCCAGTGTAAAGGCCAGTGTTGAGAGGCGGACTCAGGAGGATCCAGGGGCATGCTGGTCAATCCAGCTTATGGATGAGCTCCAGTCAGTGAGAGAGCCTGTCAAAAGAAGACAGTGGGCTGCTCACCTCGGCAGCACACACACTAAAATTAGAATGGTACGGAGGAGATTAGCGTGGCCCCCGCCCAAAGATGACAGGCAAGTGCATGAAGCATTCCATAGGGTTGAATACATTCATCATGAAATAAGTGCAAATAAAATAAAAGTAAAAGTCATAAGAACATTGGGGCTGGGGAAACGGCTCTGTGAATCAAGTGCTCACCACACCAGCAAGAGGGCCAGAGTAAAATGAGTTGAGCAGAACACAACTGAGGAAGATTCCTGACGTCAACTTTGGGTCTTTTGTGTGTGTGGTGGGGACACACACACACACACACACACACACACACACA